CCCCCTGGGGCCCCCCCGCGGCCTCGGGGCCGGTTCATTGGTGCAGCGGCGGCAGCAGCGGTTGGTGGATAAAACGCTGTTCAGCGGCCTCGCAGCCATCGCCATGCGATGTGCCACCGCAGCACGCCCCCTCCCCCCTCTTTTTGCCCATCCCCCTGGCTGCTGCTGGACCCACTCCGACCCCCCTCCCCTCCCAAGGGGGGCTGCTGCACATTCGCTAATGGTGGCGAGTTTGTCATTTGATGCTTTTCGCAAAGCGCGCGCTCTCGCTGGGCCATGGTCCCGGGACTCGCCGAGCGGCTGCACCAGCAGCGGTGGCGCCAGGCGTGGGGAAAAGGGTGTGCGGGATAGGTCACCCACCAATCACGAACAAAGAAGGATTGACTGTGAGGGAAAAGTGAATCGAGGTTTTCAGTACATTATTTTATCATACCTTCCTCTGGCAATTTATTTTAGGTTCTAAAAGGCGTATGACCAAAGGTTCCTGGCAACAACTGTTGTAGTTATACCTTACCGCATGCTGGCGTACCGCGCAGGCTACCCTCACTCACACTAAACGACGTGGTCACCTTGCTTGCCAAAATTTAGGTATTTCCTCTTGGATGCATAATTTTTGCATTTTCTTCGAGACTGCCAATTCTTAGCGCCTTACTTTCTGTATTGTTTACGTGCTTTAATGTAGGCGCATGGGTATTTTAAAAAATGTAAACATACCATGTCTTTATGTCAACTTTCTGTAAATGTTGACAATAAATGTATTGATGTTCTCTGAGGAAAAGGGGAAATCTTCAACATAATGTAAGGGAAACTCTCTCAGATTTTGTCATCAGAAGATGAGGAAAACTCCCAAATACTTTAGGAGACTTAATTAAAATCTTAGGACTTCCCTTCAAAAAATTTCCATTTTCCCCAAAAAATCAGACATTGTCTTTACCGGTCTTTATACCTTGGCATATACCACCACCTCACGTTAGACGTCACGTCACGCAAAATGTCTTACGCAGGCAGAATTAGCAGTCACGCAGAGCCGCTATTTTCTGAACGTTTCGGCAGACAGGGTTTGTCAAGTGAGGCTGCGTTAGACATTTCGCGTCTGTCGTGATGGCGCGTGGGGCGTGGTGGGGCGGGGCGGAGCGGGGCGGAGCGAGGCGTGGCGGCGAGGGGCGCAACAACGGAACGGAGCACCAGCAAGAGTGACAAGGCAAGCAGGTTTGATATTCCCCCGAGAGAACGTCGCGAAAATGACAAGGCCCCACCCGCGCCCCGCCCCCTCCGCCGCGTCCCGCCACGCCCTCTGCGGCAGATAGCGCCGGGGAAGACTTGACGGCACCGAAGCGCCAGAAGGCACAGCAGCCTTCCTTCTGCTCTCATCTTGACGTCGTCGTCGTCGTCCCCGGGGGTGCTGCCTGTCTTCCTGACTATTTGCCCGCCTGTCTGTCTGTCCCAATTGTCAGACAGTTACACTCTAATACATCATACGCCTCCCTGCATTATTTGATGGCGCCCCATGGTGGCTAACTATTTTCCAAAAGTTTGAATTTTTACCGCTTCTTCAAAAGACGTCCTACTGGCACTGGTTTTCGAACTTAGCAATGAGTTAACTCTCATATAAATTACCATCAGGCAAACGCATTCCCTTGGACACGTTTCTAATCTGAAATCCACCACATCGATTCTATTCTGCAGTATTTGTCACTGTCACTGTGATTTGTATATTGGGGACTTGGTGAAGACGGTGTAGTGGCGAGGGGAGTGCGGCAGTGGGGCTGCAGGAGTGACGCCAGTAGAGACGATGGCGCTGTCGGCGGCGGCGAGGAGTCTGCACGCATTTCAACAAGGACAAGACAACTAATTGGCAAAGTTGCATTTATGATTCGAAGTCGCGCGCGCGTCTCGTCAGAGCCGGCGGCGGCGGGGGCTTTAGTCTCGTGCTGTGGTACCCCCACCATGCCATGCCACTCCTTGCCTCGCCACGCCTCCACAACCCTCTTATTCCACCCCCAACCCCTTCCTCTCCGTCATCTCGCATTCCGACTTGTGTTGGTGTAATTTCTTAGCTGTCCCGCTGCTGCTGACGACGACGACATGGCATCCTGCACAGCCAGCAAGACCATCGCAGCATAGCGTACTATAGATAGAAGGCGGTGCTGGGGAATTTAACTATTGCAAAAACTTCTAGCCGTACCTGACATAATAATTTTTTGTGGATGTTTTGTGTTACTTTTTGAAGTCCTGTGAAACTTTCGGGGGTTTTATAAGTTTCTATGGAGTCGAAAAGTTAAGAGCCTCAGTAATTTGTTTCATTTTCAGCTTTAATTTGCTTATCAAGCACAAAAAAGTGTTAGTCGTTACTCGTGATACCTGGGAAAAGGAAAAAAGATTAAAAACGCAAGAAAAAATAACACAAATGGCAGCAATTGCAAGTTCGGTGCTGATAATATCTTTGCTGAAACCAAAATTGATCATCATTTTATAATCTTTTGTCGAGCACGTGGCGGGGGACGGGGAGCTTGCAGGGCTGTCCCGAGGGCTGGGGGCCGCCCCACACGAAGTACTTTCCCTCGGCGTACCCCTGCCCCTGTCCCGTCCGCAGGATTACGCGTCTAATTATATTATAATTCCAACCGGCATGCCCCCCTCCTTCCCCTCTCTTTTCCGCTTCTGCTTTGCAGTGCTGAGGATTTGAGTACAGACTCCTATATCTTCTCTCATTCTGGGAAATATTTAGAAGCTAAGAGAGGTAATTACCGGGTAATTATCTTCCATTCTAGAGAAAACCCAGAGCAATATAACGCAATCAGAATCAAATTCTGCGCTGCACTGCCACTATAGAATGCAGGATCTCTTTCACAATATATGGCTATATTAAATCCTCATTTTGACGGAAAAAAGTGTGACGACACGAAGATGTCTTCTGTTACTTGGTGGGTTGGGCTTGCGCATCATCCATCACGTCCTGGAACACAAAAAGGAATAAACAAAGGTTAGAGTCGTGAAGGAACATCCCGCATTTTTTACTCTAAAACACGGGTGAGGCTGGGCGGTTTGCTGGGCGTGTCGCCACTCTGTCGCTTTGCGCAGCCGGGATGATATGCTGATTTACTCAATTCCAGAATCGTTGTTCGATTCATGAATGAGAATGTCCGCATGTGTGATGGAGTGCGGTGATGTGCATTCCCGTGACGCTTGTGTGTGTGTATGTGTGTGTGTGTGTGTGTGTGTGACAGAGACAGAGAGAGAAGGGAGGGGCTGGGAATTAGAGAGGGAGATAGAGAAAATCACTCTCCTTCCAACCTGAGTAGTAGGCTCTCGAGACGGAATCATGTGACAGGGTTCATGTACGATGTGGAGGTACGACTTGCGCGTGCGCCCCTGTGTATGTGTTTGTGTGTGTGTGTGGCGCCCACCCGCATGCTCTGGGGATGATAAAGGCGCCATCTTCCCTACAGCTCAAGCATCCTGGTTATCTCCCCCTCCTGTAATTAACATAATTTAAAGTGAGGTGATATGGGTTTCCCCAGCTCCACGAGGCTAATGCCATTACACACGCAGACGAACACAAACGCTTTCGTCGACATCACCAATAGTATGCTCATTAGAAGAAAAAAAAATCCTAGAACGGCAAACGATCACTTAACCTGCAGCCACCCCTAGCGTTGTCTAAAAATAAAGTTAACGGCCTCTTTTCGATTGTTTTTTAGCAGATGATACCTTACAAACATTTTGACTAAACATAAAGAATAAGTAACTTTAAGGTGTCAGCTAGCTTTTACTCTCGATGAGTACAGAGAACCATAAGGGCAGACCAGAAAACAATTTATTTGGCGCTGGGGGGCCGAGTGAGTGAGTGAGTGAGTGCCCGAGCGCCCGAGTGTCGCGCGCGGCAGGCCCCTGCTCAACAATACTAGGGTCCTACAGCCGCGACTGCCACCAGGTACGCTTCCCCCTCCCTCCCCTTTATTAATAATGCCTGTCAAAGACGATAAACGAGTGAAACATTTAAAAAATAATGCAAAACCACCACAAATAAAAATCAAACTAGAAATATTAAAACGCAGGTATACTATAGTATTAAATTGGTATCATCTGCTTTCAAGATAGATTCTTGATTTAGATTTTTCTCCGACTTTTATTCCACTATAACATAACTTAGTGCATCCGTGCTTGTAACTTAGCTTTGATTTCTTGCCACGTTTATTGACAACCATTCGACTAATTACAAAAACGATAACAGTGCACTGTTTTCAGCAGCCCATGTGCGTGCGCGCGCGCGCGCGCGCGCGCACACACACACACACACACACACACACACACACACACACACACACGGTGCAGGCTTCTCCTTTGGGAGACGGCAGATGTGCTCCTCTCTCTCCTCATCCTTCTTCCGTCTTGCGGCGGAGCCTCGCCGCACCACGTAAGACTGAGCGCCAACAGCCCCGCCCGCCACGTCCTACCACGCCCCGCCCACACTCTCATGCGGTGCGGCGGTTGTTGCCCAGAATCGCGGAACTTCGGTTTAAATTAGAGCGACCTGATGGCGGCGGGTGGGTTGGAGTCGCGGAACGGCTCTGCTCTTTATGCATTGCTGAAGCGAGTGGGGGTCCTGGAGGTTCTTGTCTTGGTCCTGCGGGCCTGCAAGGGCTCGGCGGCTAAACTGGCTGTAACATTTCAATTCCTTCGGGTCGCCGGGTCCGCGTGCAGCACGTGGGGCGCAGCGGCCGTCGCCCTGACAAGCGCGCAGGAGGCAGGGGAGGGGAAGGGCCACTGCGAAAAATATTTGTAGAGTTTTGAGAAGAGGAAAGTTTTCCATATGGGGAATGACGTGGTAAAGTTATGATATTAAAATGACAAGTTTAAATATGTTTTTACATTATGTGCATCAACTTTTTATTTTTAGGATAAAAAGTTTTGTTGTATATTTACAACAATGCAAAACATAAATTTAAAAAACCAATATTATCTCCGTTTTGTAAATTGTAAACTAAAAATAAAACGTTGTAAATTGACAAAGATAATTTTCACAGTGGCAAATGCCCCTTGCCCTGCCCTCTCGAGGGTGGAGAGCGAGCAGACGTAGCACGGCCCGCGCAGGGCATTCATAAACTGAGGAACAACGAAAATCACCATTCCGAGGCTCCGTAGGCAGCAAACGCATTACAATACCCGGGAATTAATATAGCAAAACTTCTCAGATCTTTCCCCCTTTGGCCAGCATGGCGCCGAGTCCCCTCCTCCCACCCCACCCCTATAGCCACCCACTCACCCGCCGCCGCGCCCTCTCCCCAACCCTACGGCGCCCGCATCAACCCATTCCGAATCCTTCTCCTCGACCCAACCGGAGACCGGCACTGCGACAAAGGTGGGCTACCATAGTACCAAACTTTATTTCAAAGCAAAACGGCAATCTTTTGAAATAAAGATCCATGTCCAAGCCCAACACAAAACGTTCAACCACTCACTCTTTTGACTGTTAGTATACTTTCTTCCTAACCTACTTTTTTTTTCGTATTATATTGTCACATTATAAGATGGCAAGGAAATAATTTGACTTTTAGTACCTGCGAAGATTAGTAGAGCACGACAAGCTATCTCACGCCTCATCTCTCTCTCTCTCTCTCTGAAGATTAGTGGAGCACGACAAGCTATCTCACGCCTCACAGCACCGCTGTGTAGCCAAGGACACACACGCCGGCTGCTAGGTCTAAACTTAGTTAACTCGATCCAGTGATTCCATATATGTTTATGCGTTAATTTGATTTCCGGCGGCGGCGCAGAAGACCTGATTAGTTGTGCCCGTGGCGTGTCATGTCTACCGGCAGCGTGCAGATGACGAGCTTTTAAAAAATACAAACAAATTCATAACGAATAATAATTGATCGTGGTCAAACTCACGCATTCTTTGTTGAAATTTTAAATGAATCCTTTCCTTCCACAAAATTTCTGATGAATGTTACAATTGCTCCAGAATCTAGCCTCAAACACGAAAAAAGGGAAATAATGAAACAACTGTATAAAATATTAGTTCCAACCGGTTTTTGTTCAGCGTGGCGTTTTCTTTGCTGTGTGCGCGTCCCAACGCGGTTGCGGTGCGTGTGACATCTGAGTCTAAAACGGGGCGCCCGATGAAGAGCTGTGCAAACTCCAGCCGGGTCGTCACAGCGTGGCCCGGCGCCGCCCCCACACCCCTCCGCCCCTCTCATCCCCCGACTCCTCCCCGGGGCCCGGGCGGAGAAGCGCGCGACACCAGCGTACAAACAATAATTTACTCGAAATGTAAGATAAACAAAAACAATTTCGGGGGGAGGGGGACGGGACAGACGATGGGACGCGGCGGCCGCCTGGGAGGTAGGCAACACGAGCCAGTGGCGCGCACGGGTGCGGGCGCGTGGCCTGCTCGCCAGGCGCGCGTCACCCGCCCCGCTGCCATGGCAACCGGAATGCGAGGAGGCGTGGCGTGGCGGAGTGGGACGCAAACGAAGACTCGTCCGTAGTGTATAGCAAAGCCTTGGCATGTGCCAAGGAAAAGGGAGCGACGCAGAGAGAGGAGGATGTAAACGGAGCAGGATGTGCGTGTGCTGCTCGGATCCTTCCTGAGCTGCCCTCGTCAGTGGGCTCACTTACGCCCTGCTCTCTGCCGTGTGCCATGCACCACTACCTCTACGGAGAAGAGCGTTGCGCGGCGACGGTTGGCAGCCAAGTCTTCCTCGTGTATGCAGCAAAGCAGCAAACAGGAACACTACTACACCACCGCGGCATCTCTCGTACACGTGGTACACAGGCCAAGATATCCATCGCAACACAAATCACAAGCAATAGTGTCTGGCCGTATAAAATTTCGTGATGACGAAATTGCTTCAAAAGGTTGTGCAGGAATCTAATTGTTTGTAATAAACTTCATCTGAACACAAACTACATCTTTGGTTTTCTTTCACTTAATATTCTTCTGTTTTGTACGTGATTTATATTTATTTACTTACATGAGCCGACATGGGCGACCAACCACAAGTGGTCCGTTTGGTCCTTTTGAAATTTACTTTTTGTTTCGTTTTAGTGTTTTGTGCCCTGTCACTCACTGCCTTCTCGGAATCGTAAAAGAAAACAATGAGAAAGAAGATACAAAATTTACGCAGTATACTGGTCACTCTTCCAAAATGTCTTAACAATTAAACATAACTGCTCAAGGAGTAGTGATTTATTTCTACATTTAACCCGCACTATGCCCGCAAGTCCGTCAGATCGCCTGATTGCCTCCCTCCGGCAAGGCTTGGCGGTTCTGAGGAATGCAGCATTAAATCACAGCCAGCTCTCTCTCTCTCTCTCTCTCTCTCTCCCTCTCTCTCTCTCTCTCCCTCCCTCTCTCTCTTCATCAACGTTTTGCAGAAATGGAACGTTCCACCCCACCCGCCACGCCTCGCCTCAACCAACACAGCGATCCCGTAAACAGTCTTAAGATTGCCCGTGCCCTTCTCTCGAGGCCGGCGCGGCGGGCCGGGGGCAATAAATTCACATCAACTCGGACAGCAGGGGCTCTCGCTCCTGGCGAGCCCAGCGCGTAGGTGGTGGCAGCGAAACATGCACTCTGTAAGATTGGTCATAGTTGGTGACAGGGGTGGAAAAATAAAACAAGGTTTATTTATGACAGAATATACGACCGTGAAAAGGGCGAATTAAACAGTTATTTGTTTCTAGCGGAAAAATTTGAAACACGCATCTCATTTGTCTTAGGTTACAAGAAGAATGATTTTCAAAGAATTTTTTTACTACCCACGTAACATGAAACTGTACATCGATTGTCAAAAGGGTGTCGAATAATGACAAACCACATCGCTTGGCCAACTTAACTATGATATCAATTTCAAACTTACTCGAAAAGCAAATAGAGACTATTAAGATTATAGCTGAAAAATGATTTTCCTAAAATGACTACAAGTACACTAAAATTCACTACAAGTA